AACCTAAAGGCCAAATCTCAGTGATTTCCAGAGGTTCCCAAAGTGGGCAATACCACCCCCTTGAGGACACTAGATCGATCCAGAGGGGGTGGTAGTAGCCTCTGGAGAAATTAGGGCATGTTAAATAAAAATAAGGGGCTGGTAGAAGCATAAGGAAAGAAGAGAAGAGAGGAAAATTTTGAAAAATGTTCACACATGTTTCATCTATTGTGTAACAAAGTTAAAGTTATAGTGATTACATTATTTTCCAAATAAATATACAAAATGTACGTTATAACCCATCAGTGGTCAAGTCCACTGATAGGTTTTAACAAGTAAGTGTTCACAGGTGAGCATTTCTCACATTGTCAGTTAGGCCAGCGTGCATCAGCAGGAATATGTTTGTGTAATGACTTGTTTATAGTACTATACATTATATGATGCAATATTGTGTTATCAAAATTTCAATGCAGGAAAAACCCACAAATTTACAATTATTAAATTTAAGATGAGTCTTTTTTTAAAAAAAATATTTTTTTAAAAGGATGCAAATATTTTTAAAAAGTTAAAGGGTTGATGATTTTCTGGGGGCATTGAGTAATTTTTTTAAAGAGGGCAGTAGGCCAAATAAGTTTGGGAACCTCTGATTTAAACTATTATAGTAACTCTGATCACCTAAAGGCTACTCTCATTGTCTTTGTCTTGGGACTCAAATCCCATCTTGGCTGTGGTTAAAGGGGTTTCGGAAGCTGAGATCCAAATAATATAATCTCAATTCGACCATGTAATCAATAGCCAATTGGAAGAAGACTTGCCTATGTTGCTCAAGATTTTGCTCTGTCATCTTGCTAATTGTTTTAAAAAAAAAAAAAACCCTGTCAGCCCTCACTCAGGGTCTATGGTCATTGAGAGGCCATTGATCCAATTTATTGTTTACTGCTAGTCTAACTAATAAATCAATGATGCTCGGAACCTTGTCTCTGAGTTTACCTTGATTTTCAAACACAATGCTTGTTCACACAAGCAATAAGTGGCTGAGATGGGATTCAAACCTGGTCCTTTCAATACAACTCCAATGTTCTTCCCACTGTTCCATAAGCCTTTTTTCTCTTTTTCTTTTTGAAAAGCAAGTGACAGGCAAAGCCCCAGGAGCTAGATATAGATCCAAAGAAGGCCCTGATAGAAGCAGCATGGGTTTTATGAAAAAGTGATAAGCTTTTTGTATATTTGCATCCATGGCTACTCTGACAGTCTTTTATAGAGTCACAGGGTTTAGAGCTAGAAGGAATTTTGGAGATCATCTGGTCTAACCCCCTAATTTTACAAAGGAGGTAAATGAAGCCCAGAGAAAGGAAAAGACTTGTTGAAGGTCATATAGTAAGTACCAGGGTTAGTAGTCATACTTGAGACTTCCGATGGGAAGCACAGTTCCCTTGCAACTATACCAAGCTATCTCTATTAGGGGAGAGAAAGCTAGCTATTCTAGGAAAACTTTCTTTGAGCATGCTTGTTCCAGGGTAGTGTTTCCAAAGATAGGCATTTCTAGTGGAAGTGACAGAGGGAGTACTATCAGTGTATTCTGATTTACCTGGTAGAAGGAGGTAATGATCCCCAAAGGAAGTGAGAAAGTAGATAACCTGAAGGTTATTCATGGGTCCAAAGACCCATGCCCAAGAAGTGGCAACGCTGTCTCTGGGTTGGGATGTGTTTTAAGGAAAAGGGCTCAAGAACATCCTTTTCTTTTCCTTCTCCTCTTTGTGCTCCAATAGGGGTGGCTTGTCCTAGTGAAGTTTCCTTGATGTAATATACATGTCCATGAATGAATAAAAGAGTCAACGAAGGGACAGGATGTAGTTCAAGGTAACTGAAGTGGATGAAAAGGAGAGTAAGCTAAATTACTCAACTCTTATTTTGCTTCTGTCTTCTCTGACAAGGAAAATGGGAAGGATAGAATAAAAGTGGTTAATAGAGAACGGAAACTCAAGATTAGTGAGCAGAGGGTAAGAGAGTACCTAACTGCTCTCAATGAGTTCAAGTTGCCACACCTGGATGAACTACAGTCTAAGGTACTGAAAAAAACAGTAGATGTGATGGCTGAGAAAGAGTATTTGACAAATTATGTCAGTCTCGGGAAGGGTAAATATTGTCTTTGGACAATTAGAAGAGGATGGCATCTGCCAACTATTAAATAGTAAGGCATGTTTCTATTTTTTTTTTAATTCTACAACATATTATTAAACAGATAGTAAACAGATTGGTAAGCTTTTGTAGGGGAATGCTGTGATCACAAAGACCCAGCATGACTTCATCAAGCACAAATCATGCCAGACTAACTTCATTTCCTTTTTTGACTGGGTGACTAGATAAGTTAGAAAAGGGAAATGCTGTATTTTACTTAGGTTTCAGTAAAACATTTGGCAAAGTTCCTTATACTACCCTTGCAGAAAAGATTGAGAGATTTGGGCCAAACAGGAGTATACTTAATGGATTTGATATCACTGAATCTTCATATCCAAAAAGGAGTCATTAATAAATCCATGTCAACTTGGAAAGATGTCTCTGGTGGGTTGCCTGGATCTCCCCTTCAGCCTGTGCTGTTCAACATTTTTATCAATAATTTCCATGAAGGCATAAAAAGTATGTTTGTCATATTTGAAGATGACATGAAGGTTTGAGGGATAGCCAATATACTGGATGACAGAATAATTATCTAAAAGAGACTGTCATAACCTAGGACAATGAGTCATACTGAAAAAGAGTACATTTAATAGGGAAATCTTTAAAGTTCTATCCCTGAGTTCAAAAATGCACTTTACAAGTAATGAATGGAGGTGTTGTGGATAAACCTTGAGAAAAAGATATGATAGCTTAATGAACTGAAATTTCAATATGAGTCAACAGTGTTACAACAGTTACCAATAAAAAAAAAACACATGGTAGTGACCAGAATAAGCAAGATAAACAGTTCAATTATACTCTGATCCAGTCAGTCAAATAGGTACAATTGTGGACATCACATTTTAAGATACTCATAGAGAAGGGACACATTAACAAGAAAGGGACTGGGTTGGTGGGAGGACTAGAGACAATGACATATGAACATTAGTTGAAGCAACTGGTTATGTTTGGCCTGAAGAAGAGATTTAAGTAGGACATGATAGCAGCCTAAGTATTTGAAGGACTATCACACGAAAGAACAATTAGTTTTGTCATACTTGGCCCCAGAGAGCAAGACTAGGAACAAGGCACAAAAGTTGTATTAAGGCAGATTTAGACTTAATGTAAGGAGAAATTTCCCAACAACTAAAGCCATCCAAAACTACAGTGGGCTGCTTTTAAAGGAGGTGGTCCTCACTAGTGGTCTTCAAGTAGAGGGCAAATGACCATTTTGTTGTAGAGAAGAGCCTTGATCAGGCATGAGACAGACTAGATTACTTCAGATGTCCCCTCCTACTCTGAGATTTAGTGATCTTGCTTAAAACTTTGCAGAGCTCCAGCACTGAAATTAAAAGACCTAAGTTCAAATCCCACCTCTGATGTTTACTCTTCTTGTGACCTTGGACAAAATTATTTTTCCTCCCTGAGTTTCAGTTTCCTAATCTTTAGTCAAACATTTCTTAAATACCTACTATGTGCCATGCACATTGTTAAGGGTACAGAAAAAAAGGCAAAAAAAAAACCATTCCTGTTCTCAAGGATTGTACAGTCTAATGGAGGATCCAACATGCAAATAACTTTGTGCAAACAAGATAGATTTGGGATAATTTGGAGACAATCAACAGAAGGAAAGTACTAGCATTAAGGAGCACCAGGCTAGGCTCCTTGTAAAAGGTGGCATTTTTTCTGGAGGAAAGATTTTTCTTGAAGGAAGAGAGGGAGGCAGAGAAAAGATGAGAAGAGAAAGTGTTCCAAGTATAGGAGACAGACATCTAGTGAAAATGCCCAGAGTTAGGAAATATAGTGTCGTATGGGAAGAACAGCAAGAAGTTCAGAGCACATTGTAAGGAGTAAGGTGTAAGAAGACTGAAAAGATGAGTTGTTGTTTTAGTCATTTTTTTCAGTCCTATTGGACTCTTCCTGACCCCATTTGGGGTTTTCTTGGCAAAGATACTGGAGTGGTTTGCCATTTCCTTCTCCAGCTCATTTGACAGATTAGGAAATTGAGGCAAATAGGGATAAGTGACTTGCCCAGGGTCACACAGCTAATAAGTGTCTGAGGCAAGATTTGAACTGGTGAAGATGACATTTCCTGACTCAGGTTCAGCACTCTAGTCACTGTGCCTCCCAACAGCCCTAAAATGATAAGAAGAAATCACTTTATGAAGTGTTTTAAATGTCAAACAGAGGATTTTATATTTAATTCCAGAAGTAAGAGGGAGCAACTGGAGTTAGTGGTCAGAGCCTTGCTTCAAGAAAATCAATTTGAAATCTACAAAAATGAAGGTCTTGGACTACATGGCCTCTAAGATCCTCTCCAGCTCTGTATCTATGATTCCATAATCTCTAAAGTCTCTTCTCTCTCTAAATCCTTCCCAGAAAGGTCTTGTCCTTGCCAAAGCACAGAGAATCAGGAAAGCAATGGACTCTCCTAAGGTAAGCTTCCACAGGTTCTGACCTTTGCCACAAGCAGGCACAAATCCATCTCGAAACTCTCCCACCCTCACTAGGCCCCGCCCCTCACTACAGCCGCTCCCACAGGCCCCGCCTCCGCTCCAGGGATTTCATTCCCCCTCACCCCAACCCCTCCCCCGGCTCCCTTCGGCCAGGATTGGAACCACAGAGATGGAGGCCTCCGGATTTCCTAGAAGAACCTAGCAAGCCCCTGTGTCCCCGCCCTCCTCGCTTCTCTTCCCAGCCCCGCCCCCCCGCCTTTCCGCGAGGTGTGCCGGCTCCCTCTATCCCGAACTCCATTGGCTGTGAGCAGGCGGGCGGGGAGGGCGCCGCTCAGGACCCACCCCCTCTCCTGCTCCTCAGCCCCGCCTCTCCCGCCTCTGGAGTGTCAGTGGCGGGTGGTGTGACTGGGTGTGAATAAAGTAGAGCGCGCCTGTGCTGCATCCCGGGTCGGGTCGGGCTGTGCTCCATCCTGCAGCCGGGCTCTGTCCGTTCTATCTGGCCCGTGGGTAAGTGTCTGTCAGCGCTGGCGGCAGGGGGTCGTCCGCGGCCATTCACCACTCGGCGGGTGATTCACTTGGACCCCAGCTTGTGAGGGTCAGTTCGCCTGCTTTCATTTATCCTATTGGTCAAAGTCAGTCGGTGGGTTGGACCTTCGGTTCTCAGTCAGTAAATCCCCCAGTGGGTCAGTCATTTCCCTCAACTGGTGGTTGGTCAGTCAGACCCTACTATGTTGGCTTTGGTCAGTCAGAGGTCAGTGGATTGGTCAGTTGGGTCAATGGGATCAGTCAGAGCCAGTCAGCAGTCATTCGTCCTTCAGTCAACTGGATGGAGGAATGGTCAGGCTGACCCTAATTGTGTCACCCATTAGTCAGACCTTGTCATTGGGCAGTCAGGGGTCAGCCTGCTGATTGGCTGGTCTGCATTCATTCCTCCCTCGGTCAGGAAGTCACTGTTAGTGAGTTAGGCAGCCCCCTGTCCCCACAACCAGTCACAGTCAATAGGTGAGTTAGTCAGTCAAACCCTAGTTAGTCAACTAGTTGTTGAAACCATCCATCAAGTCGGCCCTGGTCAGTTCATTGGTGGGGACAGTCAATGAGTTGGTCGTCAATGAGTTGGTCGGTGAACAGCCAAGAAGGAACTCTTATTGGGTCAATTAGTTTCCCTCCTCCCCATACCAATGGGTCAGCAATCAGTTGACTAGTTGGTCAGTTAAACTCAAGTGAGGCAGTCAGTCAGCCCTGGTCAGTTCATCAGTGAGTCTGTCAGTAGGTTGCTCAGTGAACCTGTCAGGCAGACCTAATTTTAAAAATGAAAGAAAAAAAAAAGCTATTTCTACAGGAAAAGACCATAGGGTTTGGATTCCAGAGACCTAGATAACAATACCAGTTCTGCCTATCATTCTTTGTAACCCTGAGCAAGTCACTTGACATATCATTGGCCAATCAGTGCGTCCATCAATCAATCAGCTCTGTACGCACAGCATTTAGTGGACGTGTCCATTGGCCATCAGTCAGTCCATCAGCTTTTCAAGAGTCACTTGGTGGGTGAGTCAGTCTTCAGTGGGTAGGTCAGCCCTCAGTGCCCAGTCACTTGATCAGTTACAGTCACTCATTTGGCTACCCCCTCTGTCTGTTGGTTGGTCAGTCTTTTAGCTATTCAGTTGGCTGGTCAATTGGTCAATAAACCCAATCACTCCATCAGCAAGAATCTCCTGAATTCCTGTCCTTCCTGGAATGGGGATATGATTTCCCTTCATATCTACTATTCTTGCTACTGTGTCTATGTATAGATCTAGGCTGAGGCGCAAACATTTATCTATCTAGCCTAAAGAAGGGAATAAAGGTTAAGTTGGCATACCTACACTGTAGGCAGACCTAATTTTAAAAAAGAAAAAAGAAAGGAGATGGTTAATAAGGGGATTGACTAACCCACTAGGAGTGATTTCCTGACTAGAGGAATGACTGCTTACTGGCCTCTGACAGCTGACTGACCCCATTGACCCAACTGACCAAAACAAATTTCCACATTAGCCCTGTTAAAGGAAAAATATGTGTGTATACATACATATGGCAGTTAGCTGGCACAGTGGATAGAGGGCCAGGCCTGGGTCAGGAAGACTAATTTTCCTGAGTTCAAATCTGGCCTCAAACACTTACTAGCTATGTGACCCTGGACAAGTGACTTAACCCTGCTTGCCTCAGTTTCCTCATCTGCAAAATGAGCTGGAAAAGGAAATGGCAAACCACTCCAGTATCTTTGCCAAGAAAACCCCAAATGGGGTCATGAAGAATCAGACATGACTAAAACAATTGAACAACTACTTTTTCTCTCTCTCTCTCTCTCTCTCTATATATATATATATGTATGTATATGTATGTATGTATGTATGTATAAAAATACTTGTGTGTGTCATTCTCTACTCTGAGTCTTTTTTACCTCCCTATCATGTTTCATCATTAGTTCTCTGAAATTATGGTTGGTCATTACACTGATCAGAGTTCCTAAATCTTTCTGGAATTGTAGTTGCTCAGAATTCCCAAAGTTGTTTGTCTTTACACTATTGTCATAAAAATTGTTCTGCTGATTCTGTTCATTGCATCAATTCATAAAAGTCTTCCCAGGTTTATTTGAAACTATCCCCTTTATCATTTCTTACATCAGAATACTTTTCTCACCCCTATACCGTACCTTTTTCAGCCATTCCCCAGTTGATGCCCACCCCACCTCAGATTCCAATTCTGTGTCTCCTCAAAAAGAGCTATAAATATTTTTGCATAACTTAGCATTTGTTTTGTTTAGAATTAATTCCTCCCTCAATCTGGCCTCCCTCTAATTCTCCTTTCTCTCCTGTTTCCCTATTGAGTGAAATGTATTTATGTACCAAACTATGTGTATGGGAATGACTTATGCTTCAAATGGTGTTAGTACAGTTTTGTGAACAAGTACCAATTAGGGATTAGGTAAAGTTTCTATTTGGGTCATTAAAAAAAAAAGTGTTTTTCTGAGTGTATGTATTCTTCCCTCCTTTGACCAGTTCAGATGAGCATGAGATTCAAATATCAGCAGCTCCCCCACTTCCTCTTTGTATAGCTTTCTACTCACTCATCCCAATTATGAGATAATTTCCCCTAACCTTCCTTTCCCTTCCCATCTATTGTATTCTTCTCCCCTTCTCTTTCTATTCTTCTTTTAACATCTTCAAGACATAATATAACCACTCCCAAGTCTTCTGTCTAATTAGACTTCTTCTATGACTGTTGATGAAGATAGGGTTCAGACACCTACATCATCTCCCTATATTAGAATATAAGCAGAGTATCCTTGTTTACTCTCTTATGATTGTTTGTTCTTGTTTACCTTTTTATGCTTAACTTCACTCCTGTGTTTAAACTTCAAAGTTTCTACATAACTCTGATCTTTCCATCAGAAATAGTTGAAAGTCTTCTGTTATCTCTTTCACTAAAGGTCGATCTTCCCCTCTGTATAATTATATTTGGTTTTACTGTGTAAGTTATTCTTTCTTATAAGCCTATACCCTTTGCCTTCTGGAATTTTCTGTTACAAGTCCTCCACTCTTTTATAGTGGTGACTGCTAAATCATGTGTGATTCTGACTGTGACTCCTAGGTACTTGAATTCTTTCTTTCTGGCTGCTTGAAGTATTTTTTCTTTGATGTGGAAGTTATGGATTTTGGCTATAATGTTCCTGGGAGAGTTTTCATTTTGAGGTTTCTTTCAGGAGATTACTAGTAGATTCTTTCTATTTTGACTTTGTCTTCTGTTTTTAAGAGATCTGGATAGTTTTCTTTATGGATTTCTTTTGTGGTTATGGCTTTCAGGTAGTCCAATGATTTTTAATTTTATTCTCCTCAGTCAGGATTCCAAATCAGTTGTTTCTGCTATAAAATACTTTGTATTGTCTTCTCTTTTTTTAGTCTTTTGACTTTGTTTTTACTATTTCTTATCTATTGACTTCAATTTGATCCATCCTAATTTTCAGTTTGTTGTTTGAGCAAGGTTTTATACCTCTTATGCAAATCTGTTGATTCCCTTTCCAATTCTTTCCTTCTAGAGCACTCATTTCTTTTCCATTTTGTCCCACAAGCATTCTCATTTCATTTATAAAAATGTTTTTCAACTCTAAAAAGATTCTTGCTTCATCTCTTCCAGGAATTCTAGTTGAATGTGTTCCCAAGCCATTTTTCTAAAGGTTGTGCTAGAGATGTTTTGGAGTCATTCTTTTCTGGGTTTGTATCTTGAGCATCTCTGTCACCATAATAGCTTTTTATGGTAGGATTCTTTTTTCTTTTGCTCATTCTTCCAGACTATTTCTTGACTTCAGACTTGATATAAGGGCCAAACTCTGCACCCTTCTCTAGGGAAGTTCCAGGCTGGTTCTACTCTTGCTTTCTTGGAAGTACTAAATGTTGTAGGATCTCAGGAATAGCTCAGGCTGGGAACATTCAAGCTATCAGTGGTCTCAGAGCTGTCTGATCCAAGGCAAAATCTGATCACTGACCCCCTGATCTGAGCTCTCCAAGTGCCTTACCCTAGGTTTGGGTCTGAGCAAGAGGTCCTACTCCTGCTGGACTCCACCACTTTCAGCCAGCTGGTAAGCTACACTGGTTCAGTCAAAGAATAGCAAGCTTCCCTTTGGTCTGGGATTCTCTGTCCTAGTTATTTCTCTATAGGCTTCAGACTAGGCTAGAAGTTGGAACTGAAACCCTGCTCTGCTCCTGGACATCTAAGGGTTGGGAGGGAGGAAGAGAATCTGGAACCCAAAATTTAAAAAGAAAAAAAGTTTAAAAAATATTTTTTAATAAAAAAAGAACTAAGTGCATTTACTGTGGGCAAATGCAAACTACCCTCCTGTATTGATTTTGTCTATTCACAACCCTCTTTCCCATCTGACTCTACTGATCCGGTTACACAAGCTATTGAGTCAGAGATCAGTTTAGGCAAGCAATGGGGTTGATGGGTAATGAAAAATAGTTTGAAAATGGCAGGAAAGTGCTCTTGCATTAATTTGAAACTATACATTTTTGGCCTTAGTACTCACATTAGCTATGAATGACCTGCAGTTCTAATGATTATAGGGCAATTTTTTAAAAAATCCTAATTAGAAATCAGGTTAAGTTTCCTCTTGGGTCATTTTGAAAAATGTTTCTTTTAGAAGCAGTGAGTATGGATTCCTAATGAGATGGAATGAAAAGGTTTAGAATAGCTTCTAGAGAGTTGGATAGCAAATTGATTAGGAAAGTATAAAAGTATTGCCTTGCCACAATTAAGGCCAGTTGAGATTGTGTGATAGAAATTTATAGTGGGCCTAAGCACTTGGTTTCCCTATTTTCTTTTTTTTTGTTTTTGTTTTGGCTAGGCAATGGGTTTAAGTGACTTGCCCAAAGTCACACAGCTGGTAAGTGTTAAGTGTCTGAGGCCAGATTTGAATTCAGGTCCTCCTGACTCCAGGGCCAGTGCTTTATCCACTGCGCCACCTAGCTGCCCCGGTTTCCCTATTTTCTCTAACTCTGTTTGGCAGCATATGAATGAGCAAAAGTGGGAGTAGGAGAAGAGGAGGTGCCAGTGAGACTGAACCCAAAAGGTTCACTGGTCAGAAGTCCGGTTTCTATTGGAATGCTGGAATGGGCTTCTATTTGAGAAGTTGAGAGCATAACCTATTAGTAAAGTTTCTCAAAATACATGGTTTGCTAAATGCACATATTTTTCTTTTATTTGCTGCTCTTTCTTTTTTATAATGTGGGGCTTAAAAAAACCTCAAGTGTATTTATACAAGATGTTGCTGTTTCTCTTAAAACAAACTGTTAGAGAGTAATTTTAACCACACTGTGCTTATTTCCATTCTTCACAGGGGTTAAAGTTGCTTCTGTCTTTGTCACTGAGATATTGAGATTCTACAGAAAGTGTATGAATTTCCTAGAAAAAAAAGCCTCATTAACATCCAAAGAATTATCATCATTAACTCCAAACATGGATAAATCAAATATCTGTAATGAAGAGGAATAATGTGACATTTTTCTTAAAGCATTTATTTTCTTTTAGGTTCACTTAAATTGTTTGAGTACGCAGACATGGATCTCCAAAAGTCTCCTAAGGAAACAGTACTTATTACAGGAGGAGGTGGCTACTTTGGTTTCCGGTCAGTGCCTATAAGGAGGAAAAAAATATACATGGATTTCTTTCCTAGGTTGCTGCTTTAATGGAAGATTAGAAAAAGTACAGCTGGGAGCTATAATACTTTTGTAATACTATCACTTATGATATCATAGTACTATCTCATATGTGAGCTAACTACATAACTACTACATTGGACTCTAAAATCAGTTAATACACGTGTGTCTCGCTTCCAAAAAAAAATCAGTATTTGAAAATCTAATTAAGTATATATAATTAGAAGTGCTCGTTCACTTTAAAGAAGGATTTTTTTAAAAAAACAACTACCATAATAGCTTTTAGTTTTTATTTTTTAAACTAAGAGAGAATGGATGGGGCACTGAAGAAAAGAGAAAATGAAAGCATTAAGAGCCATTACCTAGGGAAGATCACTTGAAAGGTGATTCTGTGACTCTCTGTAGTCACAAAATAAACCAATGATATAGATAAATTTAGAAATTGTATATTACTTTTCAAGAACAAATTCAATATATAAATTAAGCAAATCTGTAATTCCAAGAAAATTTAATTTAATTCACATTTCAGACATTAATCATTTGTCAGTCTTACTAGAGACAGCATAGTAATTAATATTTTGATGTTTTCTCCTTCTCATTTCAGTTTGGGTTGTACACTATGCAAGAAGGGTATTGCTGTGATTCTGTTTGATATCAACATTCCTATTCAAGATCTTCCCAAGGGGATGCAGTTGATATGTGGAGATATTTGCTGTGTCACTGATTTAGAGAAAGCCTTGCAAAATGTTACTTGTGTTTTCCACGTTGCTTCCTTTGGCATGTCTGGAAAGGATCAAATGAATCATAAGCGTATTGAATATGTCAATGTAAAAGGCACAGAAAATGTACTCCAGGCTTGCAAAAGGAAAGCAGTACCAAGATTGGTTTATACAAGCACTTATAACGTAGTGTTTGGAGGCCAAGTTATAATGAATGGGGATGAATCTCTGCCCTACCTACCTCTTCACCTTCATCCTGATCACTACTCCCGCACCAAATCTGTTGCAGAGAAAAAAGTGCTGGAGGCAAATGGTACAGCCTTGGAAAGAGGAGTCGGTGTCCTGAGAACCTGTGTTTTGAGATCAGCTGGTATCTACGGGCCTGGAGAACAAAGGCATCTTCCCAGGATAGTGAGATATATAGAAAAGGGCCTCTTCAAATTTGTGTATGGAGATCCCAAAAGCTTGGTAGATTTTGTCCATGTGGATAACTTGGTACAAGCCCACATCCTGGCCTCAGAGGCATTAAAAGCTGACAAGAAACACATTGCCTCTGGGCAACCTTATTTTATCTCTGATGGAAGACCAGTGAACAATTTTGAATTCTTCCGACCTTTAGTTGAAGGGTTGGGTTATCCATTCCCCACCTTACGCCTACCATTAAGCCTCATTTATTTCATTGCTTTCATGACAGAGATGGTCCATTTCCTCTTAGGCAGGTTTTATAATTTCCAGCCTTTCCTCACCCGAACAGAAGTCTATAAAACTGGGGTCACACACTATTTCAGCATGGAGAAGGCTAAGAAGGAACTGGGTTATGAACCACAGCCATTTGACTTCAAGGAAGTGGTAGATTGGTTCAAAGCTGAGGGTCATGGTAGAAAATTCCAAAACTACACCTTGAAGCATCTCATTTGGAATGGCATTTTGGTTTTCCTCCTAGCTGTTGCAGTTCTCACATGGTTTTCTAATGTTTATGGTGATGTCAGTTTGAAAGATTCATTTTGAAAATTATTTTGTGGAGAACAAGGAATTTCCACAGATAGTACATCTCTGTTATTCCACAAGCAGATTCTAGAATGCACATACTCTTTAAAACAAGTGGCCAAATTTATGACTCCAACAACTGATCAAGAATAGCCTTTTATACATTAGATTCTATCTAGTCTTCAATTATCCCTCCTAACTCAGAATGATGTCTGATGGAAGAAAGGAATGAAAGACAAGTTTGAAATTGTGTTTTGTTTTGTTTTCATTACTTCTTTTGAAGCTATGGATTAGGGGAAATAAAGTCTTCTCAAAATTTGTGTATGGGACCAGATTTTCCTTGAATTTTTCCCAAAGCAATTGTGTATTTTTCTCTCATGGTGTATTCCAGAACCAGAGAACACATTTCATTTAAAATGAACTAAAAACATGCACACAGGCATCATATCTGCAGTGACTAAACACTTATAAGAAAGGCTTAAAATAATATTAATAACTTTTCAGTAAGATTTCAGGTTAGACACTCTTCTAAAGAGGTGGTGGGCACGGATAGAATTATAGAGTTGAAAGAAATCTTAAATGTCATCTAGTACAACCTCATCTACCCAGTTTAGAAATACCTTCTACATCATCCCTAGCAGTGTTAACATGCTGTGCTTAAACAGTTCCTTTGATGACGAATTCCGTTTCTGATTCCATATTTGAACATTTCTAATCATTAAAAAATTCCTATATCCAACCAAAATCTGTTTCCTTAATTTCCACCTATTGGTCTTCCAAGGCATCAAGTTCTTGTTGTCTGTTATCTAATAGCTTCTAATATGTCCTCAGGGTCAACATTTTTAGAGCTTATTGGAATATTTTCACCTATTAGTCTGTTACCCCCTTGAGATTAGAAACTTTGGTGCCTTACTTATTTATGTATCCCTCACAGTGCCTTATACTTAGTAGGTGATAGTTGTTTCTTAATTGAAATGGAGTCTGTAGGACAATTTTTGAATCTGTTCAATGGTCATCCATCTTTGTCTTCTAAAGCAGTTGGATTTGATTTTTAGAGACAGCCAAAAATCATTCCAAGCCAAAGTTCGTAAAGAGGATAGAAGATCAAGATGTGGACTTTTCTTTTTGATCAAAACTGCATAACTCTAATGACTAATTTTGTTGACTGGTTCTAGAGACAACCACTAAACAAGGAATCCAAACGTGTTTTAAGCACTGGAATCATTGTTGGAATGGGTATAGCCTACCATTGGAACAACTTTGAGGACAACCCTTATGCAAATACATACATTTTGGACTGTTAATTAAAAAGAAGTCTAATTGTTTTATAATCCCATCTCCTATAGATTTTTAGTTTTTAAATGCAGTACTCAAGAATTTATTTCCATTTAGGTATTTTCCCTACAATAGAGCAATGGCTGCCAGATGAATAATGGTATCATGTAGATGATCTTGTGGTCTGAACAGCTGTTTCAGCTACAGGGATCATTGACTAAGAGAAGGATTACATGTTTTTCCAATCAACTTTCCTTTTTAAAAAAATCAGAAATAAAACTTTACTATTCAAACGTTAAGACAAGAAAATAGTCTTAGAGCACACTTTTAAAGAAGTACTTATCTTAAAGTTGGGAAACTTCAGTGCAAGTCCAACTTTCGCTATCTCTGCCTTAGTTTCCTCATCAGTAAAATGAAGGGCCTGGACTAGATCAGCGATTCTCAAAATGTGGTCTAGGGACCCACAGATATTCGTGAGTCCCTTTCAGGGAATCATCAAGGTCAAGTCTATTTTCTAAGATGTTTTATTAAACATTTATTATTAAATTATATTTATTTTTATAATATATTTTATATATAATAATTATTAAAATTTATTAAACTAAGATGTTTTAATTTCAAACATGGTAAATATTGATAGACAAAACCCATATAAACAAAAGTCTTTGGGATTTAAGAGTATAAAGGTGTCCTGAGACCAAAAAGTTTGAGAATCATTGGACTAGATGATCTCTAAAGTCTCTTATGGCACTAATGTGACTTATGTAAGGTCACAATTTAAATAAAAATTGCTGGCATTTCTATAACACTTTAAAATTTGCAAAGTGTTTTATATACATTATTTCATTTGGTCAACAAACATTAAAGCACATAATATGTACAAAGTACTATGCGAAGTACTGAAATTCAAAGACAAAAACAAAACAATCCTTACCCTCAAGGAACTTATGTTCCACTGGTCAGTCAGTCAACAAACATTGGTAAGTCAGTCAATAAACATTTGTTAAGTGCCTGATATGTGCCAGGCACTGTGCTAAGTGCTGGGGATGCAAAGAAAGCAAGAAAAGGGAGGGGGGAAGGCAAACCAGTCCCTACTCTCAAGGAATCCACAGTCTAATGGGAAAGAAAAAAGGCAAACAGCCATAAATAAACAAATTATACAGGATAATTTGGATATGGGTTGTAATCTTGTAGAAAATGTGGTTGGGAATGTTGCCTCTGCCTATCACTCATCAAGATGTGGAAGCTGCTGGGGTATTGACAGCTGTAGGCTGTTGTATAACACCTTGTGTACAGGGGTTGGTCCTACTAGATGAAGAGACTGAGATGAACCCTAATTACCAAATAAATGTGGGGAATGGGAGATGTAATTAGGGGCACAGTCTCATGTGGGAAAATCAGGCCGTCCGGATAGGCTGTAAACCCTGCATTACCCAGCCACTGGGGAAACGGGAGGGAACTGCAATTTGGGACTAGGCATAAAAAGTTTTGCTCTTGCTTCTGTAAGGTGTACCCACACATGGGACACCCGGCCTTGCTAGGCTGTTAATAAAAAGTTTTTTGGTTTGTTTTTTTTTTTCTGATTCACCAATAGCTTCGTGAAACTTTTGTTGTTTACAATCTGTATTGTTTAGAGGGAACATACAAATAGGTGAAATCACATTGTTCTTTCCATGACACCACATTATTTCTATATACAATACCTTATCTTAGAAATGATGGTTGTTCCCAACAAATGGCACTTTTTATAAATTGGCTTAATTACAAAAAATTCCCTAGAACCACTTTTGATCAAAGACAAAGCAATTTTAAACAGCAATTTGAAGAAAAAGTAAGCAGATTTAACAAAGACCTAAAGTTGTCCCATTGTACTCGTTGAATGTTTTCTGCCAGATTCCTGCTGGCCCTGTTAATCCATTCCCCCAGACACCTTGATTTTTTTTTTTTTTTTTTGCCTAGCTATAGGAAGGAAAATAGCATTCTGTGTTTAATACCCCCTGTAATGCCAACAGCGATCCTTGTATTAGTGACAAAAGATTAGGAAATGATCTTGCTCAGAAGAGTTCAGCAGTCATGTTCATGCCCCTGGGGACCTAGAATGGAAGTCAGTGTTCCCACTCTGGGTTTATTTCCTTCATTGCACTTGGCCTCCTTTACATAGTGAGAATTTTCCAATACAGCAACAACTACTGAGCACTCACATGTGCCCATTATACTATGGAATGTAGGGAAGATCAAGGTTCAGGACAAGATCCATGTCCTTGAGCAGGTTATAATCTGAGGAGATAAGATATGTACAAGTGAAAATTCAATAACAGTTCCAGAAAATATATATTCAAACGGTTGTCTCAAGTTTTGTTCAAAATGATTTGCTTTGTTTTAGGTTCTTTCAGAAAACAGCAATCTTCAGCAGCAGTCAGGCCTTAAGAAGCAGTATCACCATCACAATTTTGCCCAGTTTAGATAATGGAAAAGACCCATTTCATAGTATTTTGAGCTATAAAAGGAACATTCTAGTCCAACTCTCTATGATCCCAGTTGGAATGTGTGTTTGAGTACAGAGGGCTACTTTTCACAAAATCTTTCTCTCTTCTGCTCCCATCCAGTGAAACCCTGGATTCTTCAGTATCTGGCTCATATTCCGCCTCCAAGATTTGGGTCCTTTAACACCTCTATAAGCATTCAGGTTAACAAGAGCAATAACACAGTAAGTTTTATTTATAAAGTAAAAATGCAGAAATGCCTTATGCCTCAAGCCATAGAGAAGAAAATTCTCCCTTCCCATAAGGAGCTATACAATCCTAACTTATGGTACTACTTTTTGTGACTTGAGGTTCCCAGAAAGTTGACTTCTCTTCTGGTTGGACCTGTATGCTCCCTTTGAGTCAGTACAAACAAAGGAAAGGTCCAAATTTTCTCTCCTCCATTTCTCCTCCATTTTTTGGCTCTGAACCTCATTCAGTCCTCAGTTCAGCCCCTTCTGTTTCTCAGTTCTGTGATTCTCTGCGACACCAATTTTTCACACTTTGGTGTTCCAGTGCTTTGCTGTCAGCCGAGCAGCATTAACTAGAATGGGCTTCTTTGGAGACCGGGGAGGCTTTTCTCCTGATCTGTATGGGACTTGTCATGTCCATCAATTCCTACTCCTCTAATTGTCAGGCTGAAATTAGCACAAGCAGCAGAGAATCGATCCGTACTCTGTTGCATATCACTCTCAAGGTCTTTGTGAAGAACTTTGGTATTGATTGTTGAGACATGGGAGACATTGGCACAGGACTGCCCAGCATGGCTTGCCCTCATCAAAGAAGGTGCTGTGCTTTATGAGCAAAGCAGAATTGCAGTAGCTCAAAAGAAATGTGTGATACACAAGTTTAAAGACATCTCCATCCCAAACATTTAAGCATACTATTTGTGCCTGACCTGTGGTATGAGTGTATGAGTTGAAAGTTAAAAAGCATTTAAGTTCTTCCTATGTACCAGGAACTGTGCTAAGTGCTGCTTTGTTATTGTTCAGTCAATTCAGTTATGTCTAACTCTTTGTAACCCCATTTGGAGTTTTCTTGGCAAAGATACTGGAGTGATTTGCAAAATGGTGCAAAGAACTGCAAAAACCGAAAACTGTCCCCATCCTCAAGGATCTCACATTTGAGGAGATAATGTGTCAATAACTAGGTACATACAAGATATATCCAAAGTATTTTGAAAGCTACCTCAGCAAGGAAGGCCTCCTGGAGAAGGTGGGATTTGAGCTAATTCTGAAAGGAAACTGAGATTTAGGTGACTATGACAGATTCCTGTCTGCCCTGCCTCTGCTTCTAGGGCCATGAAGTGTTATTCCCAGTCTATGCCACTTGTATCCCATATGGCACCTTAAACAGAAACAATTCCAATCTTGCATGTGTGCCTCCATTGCACAAGGTGGTGGAGATACAACTTAATTTGGTGTAGTGGGAATAGTAGAGGATTTGAAGTTAAAAGCCCTGGGTTTGAATCTCGGCTCTGCCACTTAACTGCTTCTGTGACCTTTGACACGCCTCTTGGCATCCT